AAAATTCATTGTTCTGTGTTTCCCATACCACTTTTTTTTTTTTTTCCCCAGTATCTCTGTAATAGTAGTTACCAAATTTTATGGTAGCTACTGTCTGATATGAATTTCTTTAGAGCACGTATTTCATTGTTTCTCCTAAGACCTGATATCCAAGTATCACAGGCATGATTCTCTTTCTTAGTTAATAATCTGTATATTCCTCTTTTGAATTATTCTTTGTATTCTAAATAAACTTTTTTATTTCCTATTTTAAAAGGCAACCTTTTTTTAAAGCTTTTATTGTGAATTTAGTGATAGTTTACATGGGAGAACACCAGTTTTGCACTCATCCTATTATACTGTCATATTTTGTTTCTTAGCAATGATTACAGTCCCCTCCATGCATCATCATTTAAAAGTATTTGCTTCTATTCCATCTGGATTTTCTGTGTTTTTTTTTTTGATGGTCAGAAAAACACTCAAAATGTATATATCATTTAAAACAACCAAAGGGCACATTCTGCAAGCCTGACTGCCAGCACACAGCCTTCTCTTTCCATGAGTCTAGAGTCCTCAGATGCTTCCTCTATTCATGTCCTTATCTCTGTCTCTATCTCTTAATGTTGCTGCTTCCCTGGTTAGGGTCCCATATTCCACTCATGCTCTTCTCCCTTGATGGCCCTAGAGTCCTCTGTTCCTGGACTGTAAAATTAACTACTCCCCTCTTTATGTTATAAAACTTCTACCTTTATAGTTGTGATCATTGCAGTTAGTCATGATAACAGTTACTTGCTATTAAATCAAAAGAATCCTATCCCCATCTCCTTTGGCCAAACCCATCTAGACAAGATAAAAACTATTTAGTGGGGATTGTACCTTTCCTCGCACACTCTGAAACTAAACTCCCTCTTGAAAACTTGGAAGCCAGCCACTTCATGCCTTTATAGCCCCCACCCACCCACCCATTTTAGATAGCCAATGTCAGCGTTGCCTGTTCCTATCAACCCTGAATATAGAGGGGATATGTTTGATCCTTATGTGAAGACTCTTAACCTCTCAGTTGGTATTTTGAGCTACTGCATCCATAAGTATAGGTCAAGTTTATCAAATTGTAGCAATTTACGCTTGCGTCTTTTAACAGATTTATTTTTCTTCTTTTAGTCGAGCTCTGGTCATCAAGTCATTGAAGCTAGGTTAAATAAAAGATAACTTTTGAAGAGTTGCTTTTGAGTATTGTGATTCATTTTGCTTCATTTATTGTAATAAGCTTTGTAGTATATAACTTTTAGTGTAGTATATAACTTTTAGTAGTTTAAAAAGCACTTTTAATGCTGATGAGGTTATGGAGAGACTGGAACCACCTCATACACTGCCTATGGGACTGTAACATGTTGCAACTATTGTGGAAAACAGAACTCACTTAAAAAGGGGAAAGAGTTGGAAATAGAAATCCCATATGACCCAGCAACACTTCCAGTTGGTAAATATTCTAGAGAAATAGCAG